CATTCAACCTTTATTTATACAGATTAATCCCATTGAGCCTTGGGGACTCATTTACAAGAGAGACCTCATTTTAACAGAGTGATGACAACAGTGGACAACAAACACAATAACAATCAATCATAAAGGATGCGAACAAATTGAGAATAACAAGTGAAAATAATGTGGTATTAATATATTTTGTAAAAAAAAAAAGCTAGGTTGTAAGGTAATGTAGAAAACTAAAAACAGGAACATGTCTGCATAGTTTTTTCCCCAGGAACTTAGCAGATGTTTGAAACCACTTAGAGAGGTCAAGGCTGATAGTTTCAGATATTTTTGCATGATATTCCAGAAAACAGGAGTGGAGTAGGAAAAAGCCCCTTTACCTAGTCAGTCCTCACAGAGGGAACACTGCATGTAAAAATGTCCTGAGAGCACACATTGTAGTAAGCCTTTATTTATTTTATTTTTAAACATGCCATGCCGATTGTGCAGCTCATCCATCAATCAGCCAGTTGTGTGTCATGTCCAATCTTACTTTGAAAAACCGCAATAGAGCGAGCGAGTCCGCGATAAACAAACTGCGAAGTAGCAAGGAAGTACTGTAAACCCTTTCTTTCTTACTTGATTCTGAACTTTTTAGTATTTATTTAAACAATTACTAATTTCTTTCTATAATCTAAGTTTGAAAATGGCCAAGATTACATCAAAAGTAAAATCAACATTAGAAATTAACAGCTGGTAGCAATATTGCAACTAGGCTAGAAACTTTTGATTCCATCCAACAACTTGCATTGCCAAAAATCCCAGAAGATCATAGCCTCATGTTGTAAATAACAGCCATACTTGTACTTTTATTTTTAAATTTTGGATTTGGAAATATTACATTGAAAAGAAACAACAAAGTCCATGCTCAATAATCCAGGTATACAATCCAACATTGTTCAGTCAGGTCATCTGGACAGTTTCTTTTTTTGCGCTGAAACGTTTCACCTTCGGTCCGGAAGGATTCGTCAGTCAAGGAAACGCACAACACAAAACTGATTCTTCCCCCAACAGCTTACTCTAAAGTGGAACAAACCAGTTCTGTTGGTGCTAAGATGGCCTCAAGACCATCTTACCTGGTTGTACCTGGATTATTGAGCATGGGCTTTGGTGTTTTGAACCATTTGGCATGGCTGCCTAAGAGGAGTTAACTAGGGAGAGGGCATGCCCCAGAAACCATCTTATCACCAGCAAACTGTCTTTTTCCACAATTGGAGTTGGTGCTTGTGGGACTCCAGTTTGTTTGTGGCTCCTTGGACTGAATACGTCCTTTGGATGAAGGACGAAATGTCTCAGGAAAAACAAAACAAAACAAGAAACTGTCCAGATGACCTGACTGAACATTGTTCAACTCTAACCATTGTTTACCCCTTTTCAGAATTCCCTGATAGTATTATTGTATTTGGTTAGAATCTTAATATTCACGTATGAGGTCTACCTTGTGCATGGATGCTTTATTTTACAGCTCATAGACTAGCAAGGAATGATTTACTGACAACTTTCGACTCTGCTTCTGTTCCTTTGCCCAGAAAATGTCAGTGATTTTCATTTCCACTTGTGCTGTTAGTTTGTTTCACATGCCAGAGAGTGTGAACAATCTTGACAAAAAAAAAGTCTGATTTGACTCAAAACTCTTTTCTAAAGTAAGTAAAATTCTTTCATCCAACAAACAACAAGTTTTTTCCTACATTATGAACTGCGTGTTGTAATAAGCAATGATACAAACTGGAACAACATCATCTACTTTGTCCTTCACAGTTACGGTTCCCAGCAAAGTGTCCTTACAAATGTTTAAACCTATTCATTTTACAAATTATTCATTTGAACTGTAGCCGTTCCTCACAATAAATAAGAAAGTCTCATAAACTAAAAATAACTGCAATAAAAATTATTCAAAACAAGAACATTTCACTTTAAAAATGTTGACATGCTTTGGTTTTACATTACTTCAGACCACTGGAAAAATACTTAGCAGTTAGAAGTAGGTGGTGTTTTTGACCTTAGTCTGTTTATCTTTATGCAACAAGACCTGAGTTTATGCCTCAATCAGTTCATTAAATTGTAAGGTGTTTCACTTTTCTGCTTGGCTATTATTTGGGATTGAAAAGGTTTAGGTGATGGTACCTTACCATTATCTGGTAATAGTATGTTGGATGTAACTGGGACCCTGTGTACACAATTTTGTTCCACCTCATGTACCAGATGTGATGTGAATGACAATTAAAGAACCTTGACCTTGACCTCTGGGTTTACATATGAAAAAGATAATGGTTTCAGTTTGATCAAAATCAAACAAAAACGCCCCCAAACAGTAAAGTACATAGTTGTTAAAGGTTTTCATTTATAATTTACGTTTCCTGCACAGTGTGCAAAATGATTTAGAGCTTAGGTAATGATCCAGTAGCCGTGAATGTTCAACTAAATATGTGTTTTTTTTTATTGTGAATATATTGTTCCAGGTTTGCTTTATCCTCTTCTTACTTGCTGTATTTTGTTTTCTTCCTGCAGCGACTAAGACTCATTCATCACCATCACAGCACACTCACATATGTTATCATCATTACACCCTAAACTTATGGTTTCTTATAATTTGCATATATTTGTATTTTGACGCTCATCTGGAAAACTTGCCTTCTGGTGTCCCATACGGGAATTTGAAAAATCAAAATCAAAAATCCTCCAGAAAACCAAATAACTGCTGAACATTTGTGCAACTAAAGTCTTATATTTTTCAGAAAATATCCATGTGGGTATGACAGGCTCAACATTTGTCTGTAACTTAATGGATTCCACTCTTACAAAACATTTTGTATTTTAGACTAGATTGTTAAAGGAGAGTGCTGAGGAGACATCAGATGTTTTGACAGGCTAATGCAGGGTCTAACTTCGTGCTTCTGGGCATGCAGCATTATACATTTGTCTTGCTTGTTATATTCACAGAATAATGTGTGTCTGGGGCAGCAGGATAACTGAAACACTCTTATTTGAAGGTTGAAACATTAAAATAACGGGACGATGCAAACTGCTTACAGGGCTTGACAGAACCCCTGCAAATTCTCCCGTCCTCATTCCTTACCTCCGCCCCTGCAGGTGCTCATCCCGAGTGTTAAATTGGACTACACCCATGTTAAATCTAGGTGTGGGTCCTTGGACAGGCGGGGCTACTCAGCAGGAGGTGGAAACGTGAGTCTTGTCCTGCGAATCCATTATTTCAGTGTTGATGTCGTTGTTATTTATGTGTTATGTTTTTGCAGTGGTACTATTAGTGTCCCCCTGTCATCTATAGTACCCCAGTTGATTAAGTGACTCGTTTGTGCAATTAGTCAACATGTTTTTTTTTTTTTTATCAGCATGTTGTAGTAGTGGTTTTGACTCTGCACATGTCGATAGTAAAAGTTGGCACATTGTTATGCAGAATTTGCCAACAATGTGAAAGATTCAACTTTTGTGGAAGTTCAAGTTCTAACGCTATATAAATTATTGTGTTTCGGTAGTAAATGACTATCATAATTTTCACTGTATAAGTCACTTTTTTCCCATAAATTAGCATGCCTGTGACTTATACAGCAAAGCAACATATTTGTTTTTTCCCCATTTTTATAACCCAATTTTTGGCTGCAATCTGACAATTTCATTCATTCTGACATGGAAAATATTGAACACAACCTTTTTCAGCCACTAGAGGGCCTTCGACTACTTTGGCAAGCCAAATGTCTCATTAATAGGTAAAAGTGGCTATTAATGAGACTCTTGGCTTGCCATATAGAGCCATCTTTATCTCGCTCCAGAACTCCTGGAGCAAACGTCAAATCAGCTGCATTTCTTTGCGCCGCCCATGCGAAATGCAGCTGATTTGACCATTAAAGTGCATTTATTAAGGAAAAGTTAAACTGAGACACACCTTTACTATAATGTAGAGCAAACAAATAATTGTTTTAAGTGTTAATTTTGTTAAATTCTTATTAAAGTCCTCCCATGCACACTCCCGTGGCCGTCATTTGGCAGCCAATCGATTTTTGACACAACACCAGCTCACATTTCCAGGTGGTCAGCGGTGACAACATAACAAAGGCAACGTGTTAGCGGTGATGAATAATAGATGTGACTTATACAGCGAAGTGACACATTTATGTTTTTTTCCACTTTATTAGACATATTTGGACTGATGTGACTTGTACGGCGGTGCGATGTGTACGGTGGCAAATACGGTAAATGTACCGTGCTGCAAAGAGATGCCCATGAAAGAAACAACCATTTTTAATCAAATGCTACTATGTAATGTTAATTTCAAAATTACATTTTGTACAGTATATTTCCTGCCACATTATAACTTGTCAGTACCTCAATTAATCCAACCTGTCAGTGTTCTGGAAATTCCGGTGCTCAAGAGACAATATTTTAAGATTCAAGACATCACATATTTTACTAGAAGATGTATACATTTTTAGTATTAATGCACAGTTAAAAGTCAGATTATCTAAAACAATATAAGGCAAATCTACTAGATTGTATTTCATTTTAAGCAAACCTCTTCTCAGTATGTTTTATTCACAGCACGTAGCACTCTGCTTGAAGCACTTAAATCTAATTGCAGTGATCTGAAGGCAGCAGATATAGTGTGTACTCCATCTGCAGTTTCTGATTTAGGTGATGCACATGTCAATGCACCATTACACAAGCCTAATAACAATGAAACAATTAAAACCTGTCTCCAGAGTTTATAGCACTCCTCATCTCTCTGTTTGATCCAATCAAATTGTGAATCTGAAATCACCAGGTTACCTGGGGAACGGTTGTGTTAAAATATCTCCGCAAAAAATGTACCTGCAATGTATTTGGCAAAAACACATATTAGCCTCTCATAACTGTGTTACATGTAATCACTGTGTGATTAGAAATTTAGCTTTGCACAGTTGGGAAAACAGCAATATATTCACATTACTTGCTGCTGTTGTATCCTTGACACTGTAAATTGTTAATATGTTCATTTTTACAGTAGCATGCAGCAGCAGTGAAAATTACTGTGATTTTTGGTGACTGGAAGATAAAATAAACTGATTGTCAGACAACGTTGCAGTAAATGTTTCTTTAAAATAGTTTTAGAGTAAAGAAGAACACATTTTAAAGCATATCATGGTTTAATCTGCTCAATGTATTGTGCCCACTATGCATATTCTAAACGCATAACCAAAAGGTGAACATCTGATAACTGTTCATAACAAAGAACAAACGGCTAAAATGCAGTCTGGTCACTTTAAATCAGACAAAATGCTGCATAATATAGAAAAAAAACCTATAAGAACCAAAGAGAGTGGGTGAGATGAAAGGTAATGGATGCGTGAGAGGAGTTTATAGTGTTACTGTCATGTAACAAGTTGCTGTGTTGTTAAATGTGTTTCATTTTATTTGTGCAATTTTGTTTTACTATCCTAACATTCAGCATTCAGTTCTTTATTTAAAGCAATGTAGGTTTTAAGTAACAGATTGCACTCTATACTGAGTAGACTCTTGTTTATAGCTTATAGCTGTTACTAAAGGAGCATGGTTTAAATGTTGCTTTGCTGTCAAATATTAAGTACTAAATTTATACATGGTGGCATGTTAAAGTAAAGATAACCATGCCAAGAACAATGTTCAATCAGGACATCTGAACGTTTTCTTTTTTTTTTTTTTTTTTTGTGCTGAGATGTTTAATCCTTTATCCAAAGGACTTCCTCAATCTGAGAAGCCAGCAAACAAAACTGATTCCCACAAACAGCATACTCCATCCATCCATCCATCCATTTTCTTCCACTTATCCGGGATCGGGTCACGGGGGTAGCAGCCAAAGTAGGGAGGCCCAGACTTCCCTCTCCCCAGCCACTTGGGCCAGCTACTCCACGGGAATCCCAAGGTACTCACAGGCCAGCAGAGAAGCATAGTCCCTCCAGTGTGTCCTGGGTCTTCCTCTGGGTCTCCTCCCGGTGGGACGTGCCCGGAATACCTCGCCAGGGAGGCATCCAGGAGGCATCCTAACCAGATGCCGGAGCCACCTCAACTGGCTCCTCTTGATGTGGAGAAGCAGCGGCTCTACTCTGAGTCCCTCCCAGATGACCGAGCTTCTTCTCCTATCTCTAAGGGACACGCTGCAGCAAAAACTCATTTCGCTCGCCTGTATCCGTGATCTTGTTCTTTCGGTCACAACCCAAAGCTCGTGACCATAGATGAGGGTAGGAACATAGATCGACCACTACATTGAGAGCTTCACCTTTTGACTCAGCTTTCTCTTCACCACGACAGACCGGTACTGCGCCCGCTTCTCTGCCGATGCTGCACCTATCCGCCTATCGATCTCACGCTCCATTTTTCCCTCATTCGTGAACAAGATCCCAAGATACTTAAACTCCTCCATTTGGGGCAGGACCTCCTCCCCGACCTGGAGAGGGCACTCTACCCTTTTCCGGCTCAAGACCATGGCCTCTGATTTAGAGGAACTGATCCTCATCCCAGCCGCGTAACACTCGGCTGCAAACTACTCCAGCAAAAGCTGTAGAGCATGACCTAATGAAGCCAACAGGACCACATCATCTGCAAAAAACAGAGAAGTGATCCTAAGGCCACCAAAATGGATCCCCTCAACACCTTGGTTGGCTGTGCCTAGAAATTCTGTCCATAAAAGTTATGAACAGAATCTGTGACAAAGGACAACCTTGGCGGAGTCCAACTATCACTGGGAACGAGCTTGACTCACTACTGGCAACGCAGACCAAGCTCTCACACCACTCGTACAGGGACCTAACAGCCCGTATCAAAGTGCTTGGTACCCCATACTCCCGGAGTACCCTCCACAGGGCTCCCCAAGGGACGTGGTCGAACACCTTCTCCAAGTCCACAAAGCACATGTAGACTGGTTGGGCAAACTCCCACACACCCTCCAGGACACTGCTGAGGGTGTACTCCAAAGTGGGGAAAAAAAACAATTTGCTGTGCTAAGATGGCCTCTGGGGCCCGCCCTCTTCCCCGTAAACTCCTCTGAGACAGTCATGCCAAAGTGGTTCAAAACATCAAAGTTCATGACCACAAGTCTTGAACCACTTTGGCATGGCTGTCTCAGAGGAGATGACAGGGAAGAGGGTGGGCCCCAGAGAGGGCGAGTGCCAGAGGTCATCTTAGCACTAGCAAACTGTTTTTTTCACTATGGAGTATGTTGTTTGTGGGAATCAGTTTTGTTTGTTGGCTTCTCAGATTGAGGAAGACCTTTGGATGAAGGATGAAACATATCAGCAAAAAAAAAAAAAAAAAGAAACCATCCAGTTGACTTGGATGAACATTGCTTGATTTTATACCTGGCTTATTGAGCATGGACTTTGGTGCATACTTAAAACAGATCTCAGCTTCTGGGAGACACTGTTGTTAAAGAAATGTGCCAAAATCTTTACTGAGGTTTGTCGTGACAAAAGCAGTAAGTGAAACTGAAAACAAGCAACAGAAACAGGACACATTTTGTCTTTTTATTATTTAGCAAACCTTGTGAGTTGAGACACGTTCACAACATTTGATGGTCAGATGGTGTCCAATAGAATAGAGTAAGATATAGACACTTTAAAGAAACAGTAACAAATGCTTATTAGTGCATAGGTGAAAACTTAAGGCATCAAACAACATCACAGGACCAGTTTAAGCCTGAGAACATGTAAACAGTTGCATATGTGAATACAGAAGACCTTATCTTCAGATTATTATAAAGAAAGGTCATCAGACCTTATCATCCATGACGATGTCCATTAACAGTGATTACACTCTAGCTCTCTTTTTGGCTCTTGCTGCATATGTTTAGTATCCATCCATCCATTATCTTTACCCGTTTATTCCATTTTGGGTCACGGGGGTCGCTGGTGCCATGTCCAGCAATCACTGTGCGAGGGGCGGGGTAGACCCTGGACAGGTCGCAAGTCCATCACAGGGCCGCATAGATACAAACGAGACAAACAACCATTCACTCTCTCACTCACACCTAGGGACAATTTAGAGTTACCAATCAGCCTAACATGCATGTTTTTGGTCTGTGGGAGGAAACCGGAGTACCCGGAGAAAACCCACGCATGCACGGAGAGAACATGCAAACTCCACCCAGAAGGCACCTGGACCGGGGTTTGAACCAGGGACCTGTTCGCTGAGAGGCAGCAGTTCTACCAGTTGCGCCACCATGCTGCCCTCATATGTTTAGTAGTACAAGTTAATTTGTGGACTTCATCTGTGAACAGCCTGGTAAACATACACATTTTCTTCATTGCACAAGGTAAAAGAGACATATTTGTAGACACATTGTGTGTTTTACCTGATTCACGTCTTTATTGTTCAGTGTTTCACTTTTTTTACATGTTTATTACCCTTTAAAGGTGAAAAAAGAACAAATCATTGTTATTGAATGACCAACTACATCAGCAACCTCAGACTCATCCTGGTGATTCATTTCAGGATGTCCTCTTTCTCTCCTTATTCATCGTGCCATGTCAAAAGCTTTATACCTCCTCTCTATTCGCTGTCTCATCTGTTCACTCCTTTCACATTTCTTAGTAAATTTCTCTTTGGGTCCCTCTCCAGTGTCATATATTTCCACATCTTTGTGCCTTTTTTATGCCTGTGGCTGCTTTCAAATGTGTATTATGTCTATTTTACCAGCTTGTTCGTCTCAGTGTACCCCCCATGTTTGTTGAATGTGCTGAAACATTTTGAAGAAATACAGCTGTTATAGCTGTCACTTTTCTTTCAAATGCAACACAGGGACCGTTATAAAGTAGTTACTGGTGTTCTGATTTTTAGACATCATTTGGTATTGCTGTTCTGAAAAAAATACATTTAACTTCTAGCTTATACTAGTGTTTAACACAGACAGTTAGTTAAACAATATAGCTCTCACTATGTTTCCAAAGTTTAAAAAAGGAAACTGAATTTTAAAACTGAGCACAGTCTGACATCAGCTGCAACTCTGCAATGGTCTTTGAGCTCTGACCTCATCATTTCCTAACTTTGCTTCTTCCAGGTGCAAATCCAGAACAAGAAGATTGACTTGAGCCATGTGACTTCCAAATGTGGTTCTCTAGACAACATCCATCATCGTCCAGGTATAAAGTTCAGCACAAAGAGGATAATACTGAGGTGGCAGTGATGGCATTTGACCTTCAGGCTATGCACTGGACAGCTACATAAATGTGTATGAGGCTGGGAAAGCTGTAAACCCATTTAGCTAGTTGATGACACCTGCTCAAAATCCATACTGGAGAAAGAAAAAAAAAAAACCCTATATATATTATGACACAGCCAGAGGTGGGTAAGATGTGTAGAAGGCAGCATTTCCATAAACTATTTACTGTTTTAGCTGAATAAATAAATAAAATACATGATACTAAACAGAAAAAACACAAACAATGCTGGAAAAAATTGCCTATTTGATTTTTTTCTTCCCAACTTGAATTTTCAAATAAATACTAGATTTTTAATGAATCTACTGAAATAACAAACTCTTGTTAAAGGGAATACATAAGGGCAGGACAAATTTTACATTATTATGACACAATGATAATCGTGCATTTGCTTGTTGTTTTGTTTGATTTATTCACAAGATTTTTATGTTTTTGTGAATGGAAATATATTGGAAAGCTAGAAAATTGATTAAAGCATGTCTAATAATATATTTTTGATATAAATATTGTTATAAATGTGAACAAAACTCTCTGTGAAGACCTGCAGAATTTAGGTAACTGTTAAATAAATAAAAAAAAGTCTGCTGTGCGTTTGTTATAGAAGAATACATTTTTTTTTTTATTTAAGTAAAGCAAAACCCCTCATGAAAACTGATCAAAATAAAATAATTCCAATATTAGCGTTCTAAAGTTATTAATGCATACAATTTGTATATAGCAGTATTTTTGGGGAAATATCAACACTAATATATTTTTTTATTAATTAGAATTAGACTATTTTTTATTTGCAATAAAAATAAATAAATAATACAAAAATGTTGAACAATTTGCAAATGTTTATTATTGCATCAATCCCCCACCCCCACCCCCATCAGACATTGGATGCTCATTTGTTTCAAATCAAGTGATGAATTTAATTAGAAAATTTATGTGAATCCCTTCAATAATCAGTCAATCACATTAAGCTTTCACACCCTTCAATGTCCCGGAGAGCTGAAAGAACAACAGTCGAACTGAGCTGTGAACTGTGTTCGGACTGACGGCTCGATTGATTGGTCCCCAGGTGGCCGGCTGTGGGAGGTGTTTTTTCCTGGCAACATTGCTGCAGTTTGTGCCTTTCTACCTTTAGAGTGTAAACTGTGTGAGACAAAAAGTTAAAAACTGGTTAGAAATAAATCTGAACTGCATTAACCCAAACCCGTTCCAGTTAACTACATTAAACCAGGGGTTCTTAAACTTTTTGGGTTCAGGGACCCCCTACAGGGGAGAAAAAGTTTCAGGGAGCCCCTCATAACTCTCATGTTTATCAAATAATTTTCTTCAGTTTGTCTCTTTAATCCAATGGAAATATTTATGTAACATAAATACTTAAGACCTGTTCTTTAATAGTGTTAATACAGTTTTTATACTTTTAAGCATGGGATATTTTTCATTCAAGACCCAATTAACAACATTTTTAATTTCAACTTCCAAAAATAACAATTTTGATAAAATTACCAGTATCAAAAAACACTTTAAAACTTAACCTATTCACTTTATGATTATAATAAATGTATTGCCACTTCAAATTATTACAGAAAACTGAACAGAATAATAACAGCAGTAGTCAAACCAAGTCACAGGGCTTAATTTATAAACCAATCGATACTGTAACACGAATAGTCAGCGGGGGTGCAGAGGGTCCTCCCCCAGAAAAAATATGAATAAAGTAGATATGATTTTCTGCATTTTAGTGTATTTTAACAGGTTGTTAAACATTTACGTGCTTGTAAAAAAATAAAAATAAAAATATAAATATAAATAAATAAATAAATATATATATTTATATAGAATTTTTTTCTTTTGGCGGACCCCCAAGTACCGGCTTGCGGACTCCTGGGGGTCCAGGGACCTCAATTTCACAACAAGTACATTAAATAAAACTGCATTCACAGTTCTGTCTACATAAAGATCACATTTACATTTCAGGTCTCTCTTGTAAATGAGTCCTCGAGGCTCAATGGGATTTACCTGTATAAATAAAGGTTGATTGATTTAATTTAATATTTTTGTCAGAATTGGTATTTTTAAAGTATTTGCTGTTAGATACAGCTACTTTACATCGTTGTAAAACACGACTGGCTGCTGAGAGTGTTCACATGTTAAACAGATTTCAAGATTTTTTTTGTGTTTTGCTTTAAAACATGAAATCCAATTACTTGAACACCGCCTGTCGTGTATTTCCAGCTCCATCTACTGGTACTGTCTTGTGTATACTTCACTTTATTCACTTATTTATTTCTACTTCTTTTAAAACGTTTCATCACTTTCTATCTTTGAGTATCAAGTCGACGTAGGCTTTTGTTTACTTTTCAAAACTGAATAACTTTGCTGATCTCAATTTTGCCTAAAGTTTGACTCTTCTGCTTCTTGCAGGGGGCGGTAATGTGCGAATAGAGAGCGTAAAGCTGGACTTCAAAGACAAAGCGCAAGCCAAGGTGGGTTCACTGGATTATGCTCATCACATTCCTGGTGGAGGTCACATTCTGGTGAGTGTCAATCTACTGCTCTTAATCCATCACTTAGAGAAGAACACTGAGGCTTTCAAAGACTGTTCAAAGTGTCACTTTTTGAAAAGGGGCTTCTATTAAAACACTTTTTTTTCTTTTGTCAATTCAATTATTGTCAATTCTGATATATTTTAATGATCCCCAAGGGGTAATGTTCTCTATTTATTCTTTAATTGGCTTTTGTAAATATGTGAATGTTTCTGTTCAGTGCCCTGAGACAACTTCTGTTGTGACTTGGTGCTATAGAAATAAACTGAATTGAATTATTTTGGTTGATTATTTAAACATATAGTCTCAAATGGCTTTTTGTTATTGCAGTCATAATCTTTAAGTGAAACTCTAGATCTGACACGTTTAAAACTTTGTCCTACAATTTAAATACAGTAGTCCCTTGTTTATCACTGGGGTTATCCCCCACCCCACCACCACCACCACCACCACCACCAATGAAGCTGGAACTCCAGTTCTGGTCCATTTCCTTGTAAGTTCTATACAGCTCTGTGGATCCACTGAGCGCCGAAGTCGGTATGAATAAGGAATGAATTTTTTTGGATCGGATCACAAGTTTTCCTCCATTTTAGCAGAAAGCAATGGCTGGAGAGGTGCTATTGGGAATTATGGGTAGTGCACTGTTGGCTTCTGGGAAATTTAGTCATTTTGAATGGGGATACAGTGTAGGCTTTATCATTCCCCGATCTAGTTATGGAAGTACGATCCATAGTGTACTTCCAGGTCGGACGGATCGCCGTTGTTATGAATAAAAACTGTCTTAATTTCCTTAGAAAAGTACGTCTATCTCTGCTGATCTCCATGTAGCTAATTTACGCCACTCGTATTTCCGTTACAAATCATTGGTTAAGATGATATGCGATGCATTAGACTTGACCTACAGCCTGGGCTGAATGAGGAAAAACCCTGCAAGATACAGAATGAATTATTTCCATGGTGAAACAGCGCTGCTCAGTGGTGAAGCTGCATATCATTTTAACCATGACGTAACTATGTCAATGATTTTAACGGAAACACGAGTGGTGTATATTAGCAACATGAATATTGGCAGAGATAGAGCACATATTTTTCTAAGTAAATTAAGACAGTTCTTATTCATAAATGGAACTATACTAGTACATTTTCCTTAATCTAGCATATTCAATGGCGATCTGTGCGACCCGAAAGTATTCCTTTTAGCGCATGCGCAAATGAGCTAAACTAGGGATCGTGCTTCCGTAATGGATTGGGGAATGACAGGCTTATTAAGAGAAAACTACAAAATGGCGGCACCTGTCCGAAGTATTGTTTTTTTCATTAACTTTTTTCTGTATCCCGTACTGTCCCAGTCACGTTATATTACAATTGCCAATCGTGTGTCGTGCACAATTTTTTTTCTTTTTCTTGTGTATAGTCTTACTTTGAAAAAACGCAAAAGAGCAAGTTCTTGAAAGTCGAACCGTGAAGTAGCAAGGGACTACTGTATTATAAAAAAAGAAAAAAATAATAAGTTGTTACCTAATGGTTAGCATAGATACTGTTTTGCCAGTTGTTTCATTGTTTCTCACATCACACCACCTGCCTTTAATAGATCGAGAGCCACAGGTTGATGTTTCGCGAACATGCAAAGGCTCGGGTGGACCAGGGAGCAGGCATCATCGTCCAGTCGCCTGGTTTGTCTGGCTCGGTGTCCCCCCACCACCTCCAGGAAAGCCATCTATCATCCTCTGGAAGCATCAACATGACGGAGTCTCCCCAGTTATCAACCTTGTCTGAGGACGTCACCGCGGCCCTGGTCAAGCAGGGTTTGTGAACACTGGATCTCTAGATTGCCACTCTCTACCCTAGACTACCCTCATCTTTCCCTTTCCAAACTTTGATGCTGTCACCTGCCATCCTGAAGCAACATGGTTACTGCTGCTCCGCTAAACCACCGCCTCAAAACATCTTTATTTAAGATCCATCACTCAACTTTAGGTAGAGACTAGAATTAGGAGCTATTGTAGTTTTGGTCTTACTTATCCTGTTTGTTGTCTATTTTAACCCTAAACATGTGCTTTTAAGATTATTTCTGTGGATATTTCTTTATACTTTCTTTTAAACAATGTTGCATAGAGTAGACTAAGAGCTGGTTTTAGATTAAGTGGGATATCCACTAATAGGTGCAGACCATATATTGGTTTTGCTGGCCTTAGATCAATGTTTTAAAGAAGTCGCAGCCTTTTTCTACTTTTAAAAAGCAAATAACATGACAAGTGCACCATGCTGCACCTTTAGTTCTTGCTCAGTAAATGTGCATGGTTGCCAGAACCTTCAATCAAAACAAGCCTCCATACCACGAGTCATTATTGTCACTCAAGACATGATATATTTAACAAAAAATATAGAGACACATGTATAAAATGAAAGTTCTCTGTCACATTCCTCTAAACACATTTTAAAAGAACACAGCTATAAAATAATACTCTAAAATAGCATTTATGCAAGAACTGTGTCATGTTATGGGAAGCATGTTTGGATTCAAATATGAAAAGAGGCTCTTTTGTATTTTACCAAACTGATTTTATTAACTTATTTCCTCATTTATTGGATAAAGGTGAAAGCGTTCATGTTTTGTAGTTAATAGTTGTTTTACGGTGTAATGCTTGGTGACAATGTCCGAGACTAATTTTAGTGTTGCTAATGAATGGCATCTCAGTCCTGTCGAAGAGCCTTACTCACTTGAATCTGCTCAGCTACTAAACTCTGGAGCTCATTCCACAAACATCCGTCCCCAAAGAAAACCTTTAAGAATATCTTTTATGAAATATAGGCAGTGCTGAAATATCTCCACCAATGAAGGCTACTGTTGCACCCATCAGAGCTGCTGTTTGAGCCCGAAGGTCTAGCTTGGCCCCTGATAGTTAGCAGAAACTGCTGCTACTCTAAAATCTGTGTGTGTTTGTGTGTGTATGCATTTTGTGCAGATCTCGAGATGTTTTACGAGGATGCTACTGGAAACATTTTGTTTCAATGTTTAGGATGAAAACGATCTAGAGTACACTTTAAAAAAAAAAGCCTTAAAAAATTTAAAGACACCTTATGAAGAAACCATAACTGGTTGAAAGGACTCAGCTCTGTTATATCTGTTAGGAAAAGAAGTGTTTAGATGAAATAGTTTTGTTTTTTTTTCCCCCAGACTCCAATCGTGGTATGAATTGCCTCCTGCCCAATTACTGTAACCCCCTCAAACGCAACTGTTTGTTTGCTTCTGTGTTTTTTCTGCATCCCCCATCTCCGTGTGCCTCTCCCCCTCCTCCTGCTCCGCCCTCGCAAATCTTATCGTATTTCAAAAGTCAAGTAGATGTATGCAGTTTTTTCTCCTGTTGATATGACACCAATTACAATAACTAATGGGAATAAAAATGAGAAAAAATGTGACGCTGAACTGTTTTCTGTCTTCTTATCAAACTTAACTGGAAAAGAGATTTAACTGAACTGAAAGTACAGTTACTGGTACAGTTACTTTGTTCAACTAACTGAAGAAAGTAATGTTCTTCTAGTGCAGGGGTCTGCAACCTGCGTTCTGGAGCCACATGCGGCTCTTTGGTCCCTCCACAGTGGCTCTTTCAAGCTTTGACCAAAACTAACAAAAAACTAAATTTTATAGGATGTTATACCAACAACAAAAAATGACTTGTTTTAGCGGTTTTCCTGTCATTTCCTTTCCAAATATGTGGATACTAGTACTAATACACATAGTAAATTATACTCACTTTAACTTTATGCTTTATTTCTTCAAAGTAGGAAACTCAGTTACTCTACAATAAAAAACTAAACAAAAAAAAAATAACACAT